GTTACAAGTGCGTCACCGGCTTTTTGGGGATTAGGAGTTTGAGGATCGTTGGGGATTCAGGGATTGGGGAGATTGGGGAAGGGGAAGGTAATTGGGCCTCCGGTAACCTCACTCACACGACGAAACACAACGCAAGCGTTGCTTCACGTCGGTTTTCTGTGAGGCCGTGGTATCACTCTGGTCGAGCCGGCCCATTCGTGCCGAAGCATGTCTCTCCCACACACACAAAAATAATTATTTTATATACTACGATTAAGATACCGACTTCAATCCTTTCTTCGAAGTCGGTTAAATTATATACTAAAAACTTCTCCTAAGTATAACAAACACTTTTCTAAAAACCCCATCGAAAGCAGTTCAGCCAATCACGAGATAATTGCGCACAAATATACATACATACAAACATACAAGTCATACTAAAAACCTCCTTTTTATGAAGTTGATTAAAAATTAATCTAATTAGAAAAGTAACATTCAAACAGCTACAAAGAAACTATAGTCACCAAACCATACAACTCCTAGGTGCAACACATGATGCAATGGAACTTGAGAAGATATTTCAAGAGTGTGAGAGCCATGCTACACCACGGCCTCACGGAAAACCATAGTGAAACAACACTTGCATTGTGTTTCGTCGTGTGAGTGAGGTTACCGAAGGCCCAGTTACCCCCCTCTCCAATCTCCCCAATCCCCGAATCCCCGATAATTCTTAAATTCGTAATCCCCAAAAGGCCGGTAGCGCACTTGGAACACCTCTAATGATTCGGATGTTCTCGAGCGGCGGCGATTGCTTACCATCAGGTGATCCGTCAGCTCGTTTACAGGTTTATTCCATAAAAAATCTTGAGAATATTAACAGCGTTTATGATTTTCTTCTCTTCAGAAACTTCGCGTATTTGTATCTTATCGAATAAAGCCGATTGCTTTGCGTTATCTACTAATTATGGACTTTCCTAATATGAGTAAGAATACATTTAAATTGTGAACTTTATAGAGCTATCTAAAAACTGTATATTTCTAGAATATTATGTTTTAAATTAAATTTTAGTTATTATTTCTGTTGTGATTATAAAGACGTAGGGTAATATCAAATGTTTTTAGTTGCAAATTAAATCAGTGGCACAACGCACGTCTTTCAATTTAAAATCCCTCTAAACGAAAGTAGACCTTAACACAACCATCAATTTCAAAACGTTTGTTTTGATAATTATTACTTAACGTCATAACATCACGCCTTTTATCCCCGAAGGGGTAGGCAGAGGTGCACATTAATGCCACTGTACAATGTAACATCCACATTTCACTATTTATGTTATGACTCCCATGTAAAAGAGGGTGAGCCTATTGCCATATACCAGGCACATTTCCAGACTCCGTGCTACTACTGAGAATTTAAAAAAACTCAGCAATAGTTTGCCCGACCCGGGAATCGAACCCGAGACCCCTTGCCCGGCAGTCGCAGTTGCGGCTACTAGGCCAACGAGGTAGTCGTTATTACACTGGCAGATAATTATTACACTAACATTTTAACCCTTCCCTTCTAGTATTCAGAATTTTTGTTCAGAAAATTTATCTTGCTATTCCTTGACTACTCACTTGACCTCTTTAGGAATGAAGATAGCTTCTTCCAGACCATCCAGTCCATTTATTTTGTCCACTACTACACCGATGGACCACAGCTCAAGTTTCGTCAGGTATAAAATGAAGTTTACTAGCAAAAGTAATTTCTAAGTTGTACCTCTTTTTATTTACTTCGACGTTCCAGA